TGGTTACCCTTCATTGCACTCTCACGCGCCAAGGTCTGGCCTTAACAGAAACCTTCTCTGTCTTCGATCGCCTCATTTTGCCTCTCCTCGTCTTCCTCCTCCTTCTACGCCTCCTCCTCTTCCTCGTCGTCATCGTCCTCCTCCTCTCTTCCCACTCCTTCCTCCAGCTCCTCCTCTCCTTCCACTCCTTCCTGCTCCACCTCCCCCTCTCCTCTCACTCCTCCTTAACACGGCTAGCAAAGGCTAGCCCAGGGTGCATGATTCCGCGGGAGAAAAACCTCCGAACATAATGCAGCCGACCCAACAAAAATGGGAAACTAATCCCACCTCGCCGCCGGCGCCGACCAGGCGCGAAAAGGAATTTTGCAAACAGTAACAGGCAGGCCAATTTGAGAAATTCCCGAATCAAAGCAAAACATATTCTATTGCAGTCAAGGTGGGAAAATGCTCACATCCTCCCGCGTGCATGGTGGCCCAAAGTGGATTATTCCGCAGAGGAAGAAACACCCAAATCTTTTCCAGCCGCCCCCAACAATACAGGGAAACTAATCCCACGTCGCCGCGCGCGCCGACAGGGCGCCAGCAGAAATTCCGCCCGCTGTGCAAAGCAGGCGAATTCGAGCAAATTCGCAAACGAAAACGAAACACATCGTTTTGCAGTGCCCATGGGAAGCTGCTCGCACATCCTCCCGCGTGCAGGGTCGCCCACAAAAGATTACACCGCTGGATAAATCAACCCCAAACACGATCCTGCCCACCCAACAATAAAAGGAAACTAATCCCATGTCGCCGCGCGCGCCGACCAGGCGCCAACAGGAGTTTGCCAGCAGTGCTAGGCAGGCGAGTTCGAGCTAACTCGCATATCGATGCGACGAAAATCATATTGCAATCGTCGCGGGAAGTGCCATCGAATCCTCCCGCGTGCATGGTGCCCACAATGGAATGTCCCGCTGGAAAAATAACCCCCGAACATTATCCTGCCCGCCCAACAATAAAACAGGGAAACTAATCCCATGTCGCCGCGCGCGCCGACCAGTCGCCAGCAGGAGTTCTGCCAGCGGTGTTAGGCAGGCGGCTTTGAGCAAACCCGCGAGTCAAAACGAAGCACACTTGCATGGCAATCCTCATGAGAAGATGCTCACGAATCCTCCCGCTTGCAGGGGGTAGCCCTCGAAAAGCTTATTCAGCTGGAGAAGTATCCACCAACATTATCCAGCCCACCCAGCAATAGAGGGCAACTAATCCCATGTCGCCGCGCGCGCCGATCAGGCGCCAGCAGGAATTTTGCCAGCGGTGCTAGGCAGGCGAAGTTTGAGCAAACTCCATGGTCAACACGAAGCACCTCTCCATGATCAATTCTCATGAGAAGATGCTGACGCCTCCTCCGCATATGAGACATGACGACTTTTCTATCATTGCAGCCGCTGGGAGCGCATACGAATTTCGTAAAAATCAGATCAACCACAATGAAAACTAACTTTAGTTTCGAGCCCAACGTGACGACTTTTCTATTCTTGAGAACGTTGAAATCCGCATGCCGACTTCAAAATCCAATCTGACACCGTTAAGGGTTCACTTGGGTTGCCAAAGCCAACATTGCAACTTTTTTATTCGTGAAAGCGTTACGGAACGCATGTTGGCTTCAAACTCAACTCTGTCACAGATCAGGGTTCGCTTTCGTGTCCTAGCCAAGGTGACTACTTTTCCGTTGTGGAAACTGCAAAACTCGCCATGCGCGCGATCGGGTGACCCATGCGTGGGCAGGTCACCCGACATCCGGTTGGTCGCTGTCAAGGACCCACCTGACTGTCCAGGCCAACGTTGCTATTTTTCCATGGTGGAGAACACAAAACTCGCCGCGCGCGCGTTCGCGCGATCGGGTGACCCACGCAAGGGCGGGTCACCCGAAGTCTGGTCGGTCAGTTTAGTGTCCACTTTTGGTTTCCCACCCAACATGGCGACTCATCCATTGTGGAAGATACAGAACTTGCCGCGCGGGCGGACGCGCGGGGGCGCGCGCGCGCGATCGGGTGACCCACGCGCTTGCGGGTCACCCGGAATCCGCTTTGTCACCGGTAAGGATTCCTTCTCGCTTCCAGGTTTTAGGGCTCACTTTCGTCTCCAAGCCAACATGGCAATTTTTCCATCGTGGGCAGTGCAAAGCTCGCCACGCGCGCGTCCGCGCGCGCGCGCGTGGCAAGTTTTGTCTTGTCCACAATGGAAAAGTCGCCATGTTGGACTGGTAACCAAATTAAGCTTTAACTGTGACCAGCGGTTTTTCGGGTGACCCGCCCGCGCGTGGGTCACTCGATCGCGCGCGCGCGGATGCGCCCGTGGCGAGTTTCGTATCGTTTGTCATGTAAGTCGCCATGTTGGCCTGGAAACGACAGTGAACCCTTAACGGTGATCAGCCTGATTTGGGGTGACCCGCCAGCGCGTGGGTCATTCGATTGCGCGCGTGCGGACGCTCGCGTGGCGAGTTTTGTATGGTTCACAATGGACAAGTAGCCATGCTGGCCTGGAAAAGAACATGACCCTGTAACGGTGACCGACTGGATTTTGAAGTTAATACGTGTTCTCAGCGTTATCAAGAATAGAATCATGAGCCCTTTATGGTGTCCGATTGGACTTTGAAGTGAGCGCGTTCACCGTTTTCCCGGATCAAAACTCAATCAAGCATGGCGACGTTTCCATTTTGGATAGTACAGAACTTGCCACTCGCGCGTCCACGCCGTCGTCGCTGCTCTCCACGACCTTACAGACGGCTGCGCCCTCCGCGCCGCCCTCGGCCTCAGCGCCATGCCCCATGCTCAGGCTGCGGTGGCTTAGGCGCCTCATGAGAGCCTCAAGGCTTCAGTTTTGAACCGCAATGGTTACCCGTCATTGCGCTCTCGCGCGCCAGGGCGCCAGAACCCCTCCTGTCGTTTATCTCCTCATCTTGCCTCTCCTCCTCTTCCTTCTCCTCTTCCTCTTCCTCCTCCTCCTCCCGCTCCTCTCGTCCCACTCCTTCCTCCTCCTCCTCCTCCTCCTCCCCTTCCTCCTCCTCCTCCTCCTCCTCCTCCTCCTCTTCCTCGCCCTCCTCCTTAGCACGGCGAGTGCAGGATATCCCAGGAGGCATTATTCCATGGGAAAAAACCAAACATTATCCAGCACGCCCAACAACAGAAGGACAACTAATCCCCGCCGCGGCGAGGAGGTTTCAGGACCAGTGTTGTTCAGCGCCGGGAGATCAGGGGGGGAGATCAACACACACTAACAGCTTAGGGTTAAGCACAGCCGGCGTGGGGCGCTGGAAGCACCGCGGCGATGACCGACGACGACGTTGCCTGCCTGCCGTTGGTTGTCGGGCATCAATCGTCGATCGGTCGTCGGTCGTCAATCGTCGGTCGTCGCTCAAAGCTGACCATAACAGAAAAGACACGAGACACTTGACCTCGAACATGCTTTTCCCTCTGGCTCTCCCCTCTCCTGCGCTCCTCAGTCCCCCTCGGGTGCTGGAGGATCGCCCCTGCTGGACCCCCCCTCCCCAGGAACCTCACAAGTGCTACGATGTTGTCTTCGGTCCGCTCTCGCTCGTTTCCCCTGTCTCTTCGCCTCGGATCGAGCTCTCACTTCTGGCGTTCTGTACACCCTGCGAAATGCTTTAGAAATCATGGGTTAAGAAATTCATAGTCTCAGAATTCGAATAAAAACCCAACATTTCGATCAAAATCTTAGGATTTACATTGAAACGTTAAGAATAATCGAGACTCTGGCCGAAAACTTAGGTTTTCTTAAGCATCGCCTAAGGTGTACGCTGGTTCAGTGCCACTGCGGACAAGGAGTGGTGCAGTCCACGCGCTGAGCCCGAAAAGGCAGCAGCGCAGAGAAGCGCCCGGCTCACCTCGGAACCAGCCGTGGACGGGGAAGGGATGCCGCGCAGGAGGCGTGCAAAACGAGGCCGCCGCGCCCGAATTTTCTCCACTTCTCTCGGCTCCTCTCGCCCGGCCCCTCCGAAACGCACCCCGCACACGAGCTTCCCAGACCCGGGAGAGCTCTACGCGAGGTATTTCTCCTAGCTCGTCTGGCCGAAGAGCTCTACGAGGTGCCACGAGCTCCACGAGGCACTGGGGACTTGTGCAGTTCACTTGTCTGGTCCACTTGCGGCACCTGCTGTCGTCGTACGATTGCCAGAAGCGCCAAGTAAGGCACGACGGGGCTTCTCAGGCCCCGGCGAGCCCCGGCCACGAAGAGGCTCCATGACCCAAGCCGAAGGAGCGACCCGGAGACCAAAGCCCCCCCCCCCGCACCCGAAGTGGCCGCTGGTTCGGCCCCTTGACTGTGCACCCGCTCGGGGAAGCTCGCCCCTGCAGCACTGCTGGGTGCTGCTCGCGGCTCCCCGCGAGGCGCCCCGCCCTCCCCGGCCAACAGCGGAAAAGGGGGTGCCGTCTCGCTCGAGCAGATTGGAATGCCCGAGCACCAGGGTGTATTGATGGGCCCATGTTCCACCACCGCTACCAGAAGTAGGAGAGGGCAGAGGGAGGAGGAGGAGGAGGAGGAGGAGGAGGAGGAGGAGGAGGAGGAGGAGGAAGAGGAAGAGGACGAGGAGGAGGAGGAGGTGGAGGAGGAGGACCTCCTCGGCCTCCCTTCTTCTCCGTCCTACGTCTGGTAGCGGTGGTGGTGGAAACTGTGCCCATCATGTGTGGCTCCGCCCGTGCTGACCGGACACTGTGCTGAAGTCAGCAGCTTCTGCTGAGCGTGCTGCGGCGGCCCTGGCGACATGCTGTGCCCTGCGAGCTGACAGCGTGCCGCCGACGCTCGAGGAGGGGGGGCGTGGTTTGCGTGTCGCGCTTCGGTGGGCCAGAACTGGCAGCGCGACACGCTGAGCACGAACTCCTTACCGTGATCCAAGACCTCGATCCGTGACTCGAGTGCCGGAGGCGATGGCCATCTCATTGCCCTCGCCTATGTCCCCGTGCGCCCCGTCTCCTCATCCCATTCCTAGGAGGACGGGAAGCCACTTGATGAACTCTTCGGTGCCCATGGCCTTGAGAGGCTTCTGGTGCTTGTTGAAGAGAGCTTTAAATTTGCTGACCGACTCCTCATTTCAGCAAGCGCGCGCAGGAGATACGGCTCTAGCGACCAAGAATGGCACTGACAATTCAGCGATAACCAAGACACAACTTCTGGCACATGATAGTTGTCAGCCTGCGCCATGGCATCGCCACGATGAGCATGCTCCGTCCGAGAACTAGTCCTAATGCGGGCAATGCTCCCGCATTATTATCTGCATGGGAAGGAGGGAATGCATCACCATCCACAATACATGTAGAAAAACATCAATGAACAGATGGGAAGATTGACGGGCAGATGGGGTAGAATACGGGATGGCGAGGTGGCCAAACACGTGTCACGAACATCTGCCAGAGAGCCCACAATTCGAACAACAAGCTCAGACGCATTAGCAGACGGGTTGGCGATATCGGCGTCATTGGCCAATTCGTCGGTCTTCTGCTTTGTCTTCACCATCCAGTCTCTGAACCTGGCAGCGGACTCTCTCCCCCTCCTCCTCCTCCTCCTCCTCCTCCTCCTCCCCCTCCTCCTCTTCATCTTAGAAAGGCGTGCAGGTCGCTCATGTCTAGCATTGTACGTCTGTCTCCACATGACCTCGCTTCTGACTGGCTTCGGAGTCCAAGACGGCTGCCATAGGCTCTGGGATGTTCATGATCACAGGAGGTGGCAAGTCCAACACATTTGGCGTCCCCAGACCATGCCGAAGTTCAATGCTGCGTACTTACTCTTGAGATCGAACGCCTCTGACCACCGTCAGCGGGATTGTAAACCTGTGACCGCAACGGATGGCCGCAATCCATAGCACCTATGTACACACCATGTGGATCCATATGGCGTAACCTATGGCTGCGACCTATGGACGCTCCCGATGGCACCACAAATTCTGCGCCATACTGTACCCACTTCCGCACTGCGCAAGTAAGACACCCCTAAATGCAAGCACTGTCTGGGGAATCTAGTCTCGATTCGTTGTCCCTGCAACTTTCCATGCGTATGGCTGACAGCAGCAACTATACTGACGACAAGTCACACACACACACACTACGCATTCGAGCTTTAACCATGACGTTGACGGACAACTGTGTGAGGGGCCTTCAAGCCACGTAGCCCACGAGCATGCTGGGCCACCCCCCCTCCTCCTGCTCCTCCTCCTCCTGCTCCTCCTCCTCCTGCTCCTCCTCCTCCTCCTCCTCCTCCTCCCCCTCCTCCTCCTCCTCCTCCTCCTCCTCCTGCTCCTCCTCCTCCTCCTCCTCAGCGTGCCGCGGCGGCGGCCCTGGCACCGCGTGCCGCGCCGAGACGTGGCGGGCCGGAACCGGCGGAGCGACACGCCGAGGCAAAGCCCCCGACCGTGGCTCCCAACGCCGAGTGACCAGGAGGAGGAGGAGGAGGAGGAGGAGGAGGAGGAGGAGGAGGAGGAGGCGGAGGAGGAGGAGGAGGAGGAGGAGGAGGAGGAGGAGGAGGAGGAGGAGGAGGGAGGAGGAGAAGGAGGAGGGAGGAGGAGAGGAGGAGGAGGGAGGAGGAGGAGAGGAGGAGGAGGAGAGGAGGAGGAGGGAGGAGGAGGAGGGAGGAGGAGGAGGAGGAGGAGGAGGAGGAGGAGGAGGAGGAGGAGGAGGAGGAGGAGGAGGAGGAGGAGGAGGAGGAGGAGGAGGAGGAGGGAGGAGGAGGAGAAGGAGGAGGCGGGGGAGGAGGAGGAGGAGGAGGAGGAGGAGGTGGAGGAGGAGGAGGAGGAGGAGGAGGGATGAGGAGGAGGAGGAGGAGGAGGAGGAGGAGGGAGGAGGAGGAGAAGGAGGCGGGGGAGGAGGAGGAGGAGGAGGAGGAGGGGGAGGAGGAGGAGGAGGAGGAGGAGGAGGTGGGATCTGGCTCGGGATCTCCTGGGACAGCCGGTCGTGCCGATTCCGGGCCGTGGTCCGACCTCGTCCAGGGTGACGAGAGAGCATCGTCCTTCTGCTGCCGGGGTGCCCGCGGGCCACTGGCGCGCCACAGGGGCGCGCAACGCGGGCGCAGCTGCGGCGGGCGAGGCAAGCCTCGGCATGAGGTCCTTCAGCTCGTCCTTATCCTGCGGGCGGAGGATCCAGAGCCCATCGCCAAAGCGGCAAGATGCAAGAGCGATCCCAGGCAAGAGTGCCCTTTGGTGCGCGGCTTCAGGGGGCCGCGGGGAGGCCCAATGCGAGAGCGAAGGCCAGTGCCAGGGAGTGGGGCCCTGTGGGCCCGCACTGAAGGTATCTCTGGCGAAGGGTCACCCCCACTCAGGCTTAGGTCGGGCATGACCTCCTACAGGCGAACTTGGAAGACAAATAATCCTGGCCATTATATATTCAAGCAAGATCAAAAAAATTCCCGGTAAAGCAACCTAACAGCGATATGTAGAAGCATATCTGAAAGCATTCCCCTTAAGATTCAGATGAAAATCCAGTTGTAGAATTCTGCTGTTCTCGCAGTCGTAGTCGCATTCGCGATGACAGTCGCAGCGGCAACGGCAGTCGCAGTCACAGCCTCAGCCTCAGCCTGCCTCAGCCTCAGCCTCAGCCTGCCTCAGCCTCAGCCTCAGCCTCAGCCTGCTTCAGCCTCAGCCTCAGTCTGCCTTCAGCCTCGGCCTCAGCCTCAGCCTGCCTCAGCCTCAGCCTGCATCAGCCTCAGCCTCAGCCTCAGCCTGCCTCAGCATCAGCCTGCCTCAGCCTCAGCCTCAGCCTGCCTCAGCCTCAGCCTCAGTCTGCTTCAGCCTCAGCCTCAGTCTGCCTTCAGCCTCGGCCTCAGCCTCAGCCTGCCTCAGCCTCAGCCTGCCTCGGCCGCAGCATCAGCCTGCCTCAGCATTCAAAATGTGGCCCAGGAATGGAGTTCTGGGAACTAGAAGAACACGAAGTGGCCTACAGTTGGCTCCGGGCATTCAAAATCATGCCCAGGAATGGAGTTCTGGGAACTCGAAGAGCACGAAGTGGCCTACAGTTGGCTCCGGGCATCCAAAATGTGGCCCGGGAATGGAGTTCTGGGAACTCGAAGAGCACGAAGTGGCCTACAGTTGGCTCCGGGCATCCAAAATGTGGCCCGGGAATGGAGTTCTGGGAACTCGAAGAGCACGAAGTGGCCTACAGTTGGCTCCGGGCACTCAAAATGTAGCCCGGGAATGGAGTTCTGGGAGGTCGAAGAGCACGAAGTGTTTGACTGTTGACGAAAAACGAGCCCGGCTCTGTTCCCGGTTCTCCAGAATGTGGCCCGGGAATGGAGTTCTGGGAGGTCGAAGAGCACGAAGTGTGTGACTGTTGGCCAAAAGCGAGCCCAGCTCTGTTCCCGGTTCTCCAGAATGTGGCCCGGGAGTGGAGTTCTGGGAGGTCGAAGAGCACGAAGTGTGTGACTGTTGGCGAAAAACGATTCCCGGTTCTCCTCCCCGGCACCCGCCCAGACCCCCCTGAGGAGTCATGATGCTCTCTTTTGACCCTACTAGAAACCTATCAGCAAACGCTGTTAGGTAACAAACATCGTCACCGTACTATTCTTGACTATCCTTGAATCTTCCTCCTGTAGAGGGACAAGCCCGACTCAAACTTAGGCGTGGCTCACCAAAGGGAGGCAAAACAACACACGGCGGCACAGGCCGGGCAGCACCCTTCCGAAGGCAGGTCATCCTCCGCACTGACGCAGGCCACTGCCCTCGGCGGCCCCGGGAGAGGGAGGAACCCTCTCGTCGAGCTGTCGACCTGCAACCTCGGGTGGCATTGCCCGTGGGCTTTCTCACTGCTGCTGGGCGGCTACATCACGTACAGTCAACCCGTACAGTAAGGATGCGCGGTCAGAATGCAAGGGCCTTGGACGCCCATTTCGAAGCTTTTCGAGCAGGGCGCGGCCAACGAAAGTGGCGAATGATTGACCGAGGAGGCAAAGATGCAAGGGTACCCTTGGGAGGGTTGCTCATCCTTGCTATGCGGGTTGACTGTACTCCAAGCTGTTTTCGCCCAAGATCGTGACGCGTGCGCTTGTCTTGTAACCGGCGTGCCACGCTGAGTTCCGCGTGTTGACGAGGGGCTCTGCGAATCCTCTTTCGCTTCCATTTTGGCCGAGTTCGGTCGGAGTGCTTACCTACCCCGTTGTGCCTATACTTCCGCGCAGCCAAACACAATTTTTCCCGACACCCATGGCCCCCGAATTTCAACGTTGAGTGACGCATGACACGCGGTTCGTGGATTCAGAGGAAAGCCAGGCGCCATCAATTTTGGCATGAGCATTGAGATGAGGGGTCCGGGGGCGCCGACATATCATAACAGGTAGCAACTTGCTTCAGGCTTCGCGGAAGCATGTAGGTAGCCAGACCTTGCGTCGAAGCTGTGCCACTTCTCCTTTTCAATCCCCTTTTCCATCTTTAGAGGCCTCCCGACCGGGGTCCGAGTAGATGGGTTCGGAGGATCGCGCCGCATCGCCGATGCATCAAGGATGTGTCGGCAATGCATTGGCGACGTCGGCAATGCAGAGCTGTCGGGGTGGAGAAAATAGGTCTCCACATCGAGACGCATCGCCGATGCGGCGCGATCCTCTTACCCCAACTACTCTGACCCCATCTGGGATGCCTCGAACCTCCTCTCATCCCCTTCCCCTCCTCCCTCTCCGCCTCTCCTCCCTCCCTCTTCCCCCCTTGTCAAAGCGAATAGGACGGCAGCGAAAAACGATCGAGTCTTGCACGCCGCGAACCTGCAGAGATCCCGACCGGGGCTGCTCCCCGATGGTGCAACCATGAGCTTTTTTGACCGTGCGCTGCGCTGTCAAATGCCTTCCCTGACCAGTTCCCTGGCCCACCCTCTCTGGGTTGGGGTTCGGCCGCGCCCGCTCCGCCGCCGACGAGGAGGGGAAGGGGGAGGGGAAGGGGGAGGGGGAAGGGGAGGAGGAGGAGGAGGAGGAGGAGGAGGAGGAGGAGGAGGAGGAGGAGGAGGAGGAGGAGGAGGAGGAGGAGGAGGAGGAGGAGGGCTTCAGCCCGAGGATCGTCCATGCGCTCGCCCACCACACCCTCCCGTCCTTTCCCCGTCGCCCTGCCGACCCAGAGGAGAGCGACAACTATCCTCCTGACTGGCCTCGGGCCACTCGCCGGGTTCGGCGCTGCGGCTTCCGGCGGCGGCGGCCCCCACGCCGGCCTGCCGCCATCTCCCGGGCATGCCTGGCCTCTCCCTCCTCCTCCGCCTCCTCCTCTTCCTCCGCCTCCTCCGCCTCCTCCGCCTCCTCCTCCTCCTCCTCCTCTCCCTCCTCCGCCTCCTCCTCCTCCTCGCTCCTCCTCTCCTCTCTCCTCCTCTCCTCCTCTCTCCTCCTCTTCTCTCCTCCTCCTCCGCCTCCTCCTCCTCTTCCTCATCATCTGCCTCCCGCCCTCCTCCCCAGCCTTCTCCTTCCCCCCCCCCTGGTCCGCCTCCTTCCCCCTCCTCCGCCCCCTCCTCCTCGTCCTACTCCATCCACTGCCTCTTCCATTGCGCCACCTCTTCTACCTTCTCCTCCTCGTCCTGCTCCTCCTCCTCCTCCTGCGCCTTCTCCTCAAGATTCTTCAGATTTTCCGCCTCAGCCTCCTCCTCCTCTTCCTCTGTTCTCCTCCGCCCACTTCTCGTTGTCGTCGTCGTCGTCCTCCTCCTCCTCCTCCTCCTGATCCTCCTCCTTCTTTTCCTCGCTCTGACCCGCCTCCCCCCCTCCTCCTCTTCCTCCTCCTTTCCCTTGTGCTCCTCATGGTGCTCCTCCTTTTCCTCCTGCTCCTCCTCATCCTCGCCGTCGTCGTCGTTCTCCTCCTCGGCCTTTTCCTCCTCGTCTTCTCATCCTTCTCTATTGTGGTCAGCCCATGCGTCGCATGCCAAATCTGCACTGCGCCCTGCTGGCAGCACGGAAACACGGGATGCCGACTGACATCAAGGTTCTTCGACTCGCATCGGGTACCTTTATGGGTCACCTGTAGAGATGAACGGGACTTGCTCCCTCCTCCCAGAAACCACCCGGAGGCCCATTTGCCACTCAGAAGGTGGCCAGTGGGCCTCAGGGTGGGTTCTTCACCATGAGGATGGGGACAGCATGGAGGGTGGAGCAACTATACCGGAAGAGAAGGACCCGATCTCAAGCTCGTGCCCGATACACTTTTGCAGGCGAATTATTTCGCCTTGAGGACTTCCCTGGACGCTGCCTGGTTTAGATCATGTCTCTGTGCTGGCTGTTGAAACGTCCCACACCAGATGCAAAGTAAGAGCGAGCCCTGCGCGATCCCACTTGGGAGTTTCTATCGTGGTGAAGTCGAGCTGAAGACCAGCTAAATTCAAACATCACTCTAAGTTGAAGCGTGGAAACAAACGAACGACGCAGAGAAGACACTGTTACAATCTAAGGCGTCGAAATGATAATGGTATTTGGGATGATCTGACTTGCCTTGTGCTGCCTTGCTTCGCAACGCAATCACATGATTGAGGTGCTTCGTTTTGAGCTGTTTCGCTTCGTAGAGCATTGTGCTGCATTGCTTTGCCACTGCATGTCAATGTGTTACTTTACTTTGAACTGCTTCACGTTACATAACTTCATATTGATTAGCACAATGTGCGGTTGTTGCATGTGCAATGTATTGCGTTGAATGGCGTTGCGCTGCTTTGCAAGGGAAGATGTCCTTGAGGAACCGTGTTGGGCCATCCTTGAGACTCTACAGGCGTACATGTTGAAATGACCATGCCATGAGACACGACTGTCACTGACCCTATTCCTCGAAACGTGCTAGAAAAGAACACCAACAACCTCAATACGAACCACACATAAGCTCAAGGCCGCTTTACGGCAAACCAGACGTACTTCGAAGGTAGGTTGTTACTCTATTACATCCAGGTAACAAGTACGTCAGGTGCTCTCTTGCAGAGGCAACAAGCTAAACGCCAGCTCGAAACGAACCATACACAATAGACATACCAGCCGGCTGCCAACACGCTGACCGCAATATACAACAACACGTGTATCACGAAACTGTCACACACATAGAAACGGGATTGAATCACGCGCTCTTCTATATACGCTGTCATATGCGCACGAACGAGTAGCAGCTTACTATGCAGCCAGCTGCGATTTAACTTGACGCCAAACTTGAAGCATCCCATGCGCGAGCTCGACGTCGCAAGCAACATCCAATGTACATGCATAATAAGCGCAGGCTTGACGAAAGCGGCATGACAGCTAGTAACAGTCTGAAGGCACGCCGCCTCCGAATTGGAACATATTTAAGGCGATCCATAAGACACGTCAAACGCATGCCATGGCAAACGAAATAACAAGGCAACTGCAAGCCAACATCGATCGACGGGTGCCTTCGGATAACCAGGTGTGGGGAGGGTACCCTCAAAGACCTCTGCCAAGGGACAGCGCTTCCTTTGGCCATCTCGCACGGAATTGCCCTCCCAGGCGAAGCCCGCTGGGGAATTCGGATGAGGTGTCGACTGTCCTCGCTGCCTGAACGTGTTGCCAGAGGCTCCCCCACTGCACAAGGTGACTGAAGGAAGGCAACACATCGCGGGCGAATCTAGTTGTTGCTGAGACCGCGGGCGGGCGCGGCACCGAAACTGGGAGCCGGTTCGGACTGATCAACGCCCCCAACTGGGGGGCCTCAGGCCGCCGAAGAGTCGTGGGCTTGATGGCTCCTCGAGCCGTCTGCGGTCTGACCGCTGGGTAAATACTTGCAAGGCGCGGACGTCAACTCAAACACTCAGGGGCGATTTGGCAAGTGGTGTGTCGGCCGGTAGCAGGCAGGCCGTATCATCATACTCCCACAGCCAGCCCTGCTCCCCTCCGCATCTTTATATTTTCAACCCTTCAGACGCGTGCCCCCGGATTCGAATCGGAACCACGTCTGCGAAACACAGTCAAACCAGACGATCGAAACACCATCTCGGAGACACCAGGAAACTTTACGTCCTCTCAGGGAGCGAGCCAAGCTTCAATCGGCAAGCCTATGAGGGCCCCCCCACCACAAAAAAACGTACAGAGTCTATGTGCGCGTTGTACGCAACACTCGCATCGTAACAATCACACAACACGTGTGCAAACTATGCGTGTGGACAGCGCATCGGGGTGTGAGAGACGCACATAACACAATATTTACAACACGGACGCTCGTAATACAACTCACAACGCACCACAAGCGCTACATCATTGCGACACCTATCAAGTGGAACATGCATGTGTGCAAGGGATAACTGTTTGGAAACAAACAAACGCGTACAACAACGAACACAACAACAGCAACCATTTTAAGACTGTTCGCCCTTATCTGCTCGAGTGTCCAATAACGCGTATTTCCCAAACCCTCGATACCCGCCCTAGAGCGCGAAAGAGCGGGGGCCACGAAGGGCAGATAATGCGGGGCCACAGAAGGCAACGATGGGGCCACTGAGGGTAGCAACTGGGCCACGTAAGACACTACTGAGGGGGCCACGAACGGCGACAGCGGGGCCACGAAGGGCATACATATGGGGCCACAACGGGTGCGACTCCTGGGTGCCTGGGTGTCGGGAGCGCGGCGCTTGAGCAAATTGCAAGAAATTCCAACGCAAGGGCGCTATGCTTTAGTACATTGCAAGCAAATCTCCAGCGAGAGCGCGACTCCAGAGCGCTGGGAGAGCGATTCCTGAATAAATTAAGGAAGTCCCAAGCGAGAGCGCGATTCCTGAATAACATGCGAGGAGGTCTCGGGCGGGAGCGGGGGTCCTGGCTAAATTGTGCTGAAGTCTCAGGCGGGAGCCGTTGTTGTTGTAACCTGGGGGCCAGGGGCCCAGTTTGAGCATCAAGACTTTCCATGTAAAAAAATCGTGTGTGAGCGTCGAGGGGCACACTTTGATTGAGAAAAACAGTATACACCAGTGGGGGATCAACAATAATTATTCTTCAATATTCAAAGTTCAACAACAACAGCAATCATTTTAAGACTGTTCGCCCTTACCTGCTCGAGTGTCCAATAACGCGTATTTCCCAAACCCTCGATACCCGCCCTCTTCGTCTTCGATCGAACCCCTTTTGGGGGGTATATCTTTCTTCCCTGCAGGCCAGGCCCCGGCGAGCGGCGGGGCGGCCGCGGACTGTCGGCCTGGCCAGCGGCAGCGCTGATCGGCGGCGCGGCCGCGGACAGTCGACCCGACCCCAAGAGGGACGGGCAGGGGACCGATCACGACGACTGCGACGACGACGTCGAAGACGACGGCGAGCGAAAGCGAGAGAGAACGACAGCAGGGCCACGAAGGACACGAAGGAGGCCACGAAGGGCAACAGCGGGGACACGAAGGGAATGCGTATGGAGCCACGAAGAGCGCGAACGAGTGGGGGCCACGAAGGGCAGATAATGCGGGGCCACAGAAGGCAACGATGGGGCCACTGAGGGTAGCAACTGGGCCACGTAGGACACTGAGGAGGCCACAAACGGCGACAGCGGGGTCACGAAGGGCAAGCACATGGGGCCACAACGGGCGCGATCGAGCGGGGGCCACGAACGGCATACGTATGTCTGGGCCGCGGAGGGCAAGGGTGGGGCCACTGAGGGCAGCAACGGGGCCACGAAGGGCAGCGAAGGGGCCACGAAGGGCGATTCCTGAATACATTGTAAAGAAGTCCCAAGCGAGAGTGCGACTCCTGAATAACATGCGAGGAATTATTGGGCGGGAGCGGGGGTCCTGGCAAATTGTGAGGAAGTCTCAGGCGGGAGCCGTTGTTGTTGTAACCCGGGGGCCAGGGGCCCAGTTTGAGCATCAAGACTTTCCATGTCAAAAAGCCGGGTGCGAGCGTCGAAGGGCACACTTTGATTGAGAAAAACAGTATACACCAGTGGGGGGATCAACAATCATCATTCTTCAGGCAACAACAACAACAACAACAACAACAACAATTACTAGCACGTGGGGACACTCCGTTCTCACCAGTGCCAGGGTTTTCATAGGAGGTGGGCAATACCCCCACTTTGTGGGGGGGCCGGTTCAAGCTCTACCAAATTTCCAAACGACTCTTCGCCACCACCCACACCCAGCTTCCCGCCCTATGACGTTCGGACACTTCACTTCGTGGCATGCGGACGACCGTGGCTACTATTCAGGGCCCCGCGGCCGACGACGACGGCGTGCGCGCGCGAAGAAAAAACGAATGTGTCCCGCATGGTATTATTTGACAGGGATGATGGCCCTGGCAGGTGCGCAACCGTTGTTGCAGAAGTTCGAAAAAGTTGCTCGCAAAAGCCCGTTTGACAGAAATGTTTAAAAAGTGTTGGGTTTCCTACGAATCCGCAAGAGCGCGCGGGATGAAATTTTGACATTTTTTTTTGAAAAACCATTGGTTTTTTGATGTTTTTATGTTAAAATCGCTACGAAAACTAAGGTTTTGGAAGGATTTCGTCTTGCGCGCGCGAATGTCCACTTTACCTTATTTTTTGCAAGGGATTCTTGAAGTTTGGTTATGTTAGAACAAGAAATGTCCACTTTAGCTTATTTTTTGCAAGGGAAAACCGATCGTAACAACACAACCGGATCCGGACCAACCCGTTTTGCCTGAGACTTCCTCACGAAAATGATGAAAACGTGGCTGCGGCCTAGGCGCGGCGGGGGGGCCATGCACCAGGGGTCCCAACAATAATTATTCTTTAGAAGTAATAATGTTCAACAACAACAACAACAAAAACAACAACAACAACAACAACAACAACAATCATTTTACCCGAACGCTCAGTGTTCTCACCAGTGCCAGGGTTTTCATGCGACGCGAGACAATACCCCCACTTCGTGGGGGGGCAGTTCAAGCTCTACCAAATATCCAAACGACTCTTCGCGACCACCCAAACCCAGCTTCCCGCCCTATGACGTTGGGACACTTCACTTCGTGGCGTGCGGACGACCGTGGCTACTACACTGGCGTGGGGTACACACCCACAGAACTTGGTCACTTATTCGGGGCGCGCGTGTGCCCAGCATCCTGCAATTGTGACATACAATACATGACACAGACAGACAGAGAGAGAGACAGAGAGCAGACAGAGAGAGAGACAGAGAGAGCGGAGTTGGTCACATTTTTGGGGCAAGTTCCTGAGATCGTCGTGTTTTTTGTTGGTCTTGCGCGCGCGAATGTCCACTTTACTTTTTTTTGCAAGGGAGTATTGAAATTTGATTATGTTAGAACAAGAAAAAGTAGCTCGCGCGAGCTCATGTAACATAAATGTTGAAAAACCATTGGTTTTGTGGGAGTCGGACAGCGCGCGCGGGATGAAATTTGGACATTTTTTTTTGAAAAACCATTGGGTTTTTGATGTTTTTATGTTGAAATCGTTACGAAACCTAAGGTTCTGGAAGGATTTCGTCTTGCGCGCGCGAATGTCCACTTTACCTTATTTTTTGCAAGGGATTATTGAAATTTGATTATGTTAGAACAAGAAAAAGTAGCTCGCGCGAGCTCATGTAACATAAATGTTGAAAAACCATTGGTTTTGTGGGATTCGGACAGCGCGCGCGGAAGGACATTTTGACAATTTTTTCTTAAAAAACCATTGGGTTTTTGATGTTTTTATGTTAAAATCGTTACGAAACCTAAGGTTTTGGAAGGATTTCGTCTTGCGCGCACGAATGTCCACTTTACCTTATTTTTTGCAAGGGATTCTTGCAATTTGATCAAGTAAAAACAAGAATTTTCATTTTCTATTGTTTTTTGCAAGGGAAAACGGCGTACAACAAAACAACCGGATCCGGTACCAATCCACTTTTCTGAAGCTTTCGCGAAAAAATGATGAAAATGTAGCTGCGGCCTAGGTTTTGGAGGGGGGTCGTGCACCAGGGGTCCCAACAATAATTATTCTTTAGAAGTAATAATGTTCAACAACAACAACAACAACAACAACAATTACTAGCACGTGGGGACACTCCGTTCTCACCAGTGCCAGGGTTTTCATAGGAGGCGGGCAATACCCCCACTTTGTGGGGGGGCCGGTTCAAGCTCTACCAAATTTCCAAACGACTCTTCGCCACCACCCACACCCAGCTTCCCGCCCTATGACGTTCGGACACTTCACTTCGTGGCATGCGGACGACCGTGGCTACTATTCAGGGCCCCGCGGCCGACGACGACGGCGTGCGCGCGCGAAGAAAAAACGAATGTGTCCCGCATGGTATTATTTGACAGGGATGATGGCCCTGGCAGGTGCGCAACCGTTGTCGCAGAAGTTCGAAAAAGTTGCTCGCAAAAGCCCGTTTGACAGAAATGTTTAAAAAGTGTTGGGTTTCCTACGAATCCGCAAGAGCGCGCGGGATGAGATTTTGACATTTTTTTGTTGAAAAACCATTGGTTTTTTGATGTTTTTATGTTAAAATCGCTCCGAACACTAAGCTTTTGGAAGGATTTCGTCTTGCGCGCGCGAATGTCCACTTTACCTTATTTTTTGCAAGGGATTCTTGAAATTTGATTATATTAGAACAAGAAATGTCATTTTATAGTGTTTTTTGCAAGGGAAAACGGATTACAACAAAACAACCGGATCTGGATCACATCGTTTTACCTGAGGCTTCCTCACGAAAATGATGAAAATGTAGCTGCGGCCTAGGCGGCGCAGGGGGGGCGCGCACCAGGGGGCCCAACAATAATTATTCTTTAGAATAAATAATGTTCAACAACAACAACAACAACAACAACAACAACAACAACAACAACAATCATTTTACCCGAACGCTCAGTGTTCTCCCCAGTGCCAGGGTTTTCTTGCGACACCAGCCAATACCCCCACTTCGTGGGGGGGCCGTTCAAGCTCTACCAAATATCCAAACGACTCTTCGAGACCACCCACACCCAGCTTCCCGCCCTATGACGTTGGGACACTTCACTTCGTGGCGTGCGGACGACCCTGGCTACTACACTGGCGTGGGGTACACACCCACAGAGGTTGATCACATCTGTTACATATGATGTGGTACACGGTACACGTGAGATGGTACGCAGTGCCAAGATAGTTGGTCACATTTTTGGGGCAAATTCGTGGGGATGCGATTACAGAAGTACATGTGTTACACTGATGTTATACAGTCCCAAGGATGACGCATGCATTGCTCATAGACTCATGGCGCTATGATCCTAACTCTCAGTGCCCAACGCGCGCGTGCACAGCCAGACGGAGGGAGAGAAACACATGTATACAAGGTTCGTGACATACGCACGGTCCACCACGTCGCATGCACGGTAAGTTCTGAAATTATACGTATGTACAAGCAGACATGCGAGGGAGAAAGGGAGATGGCCATCGACAGTTCCAATACGGCTCCAAGGCGGAAGAGGGGGAGGAGGAGCAGGACAAGGAGGAAAGGAGAGAAGCGAGAAAGGAAGAACGCAGACGGCGCGGCTCTGGACACAAAGGGGTGCCATACTTTCTCCTGCTTTCGCAAACAGGTCCAGTCACACGTAGGGGTATACTCAACCGAATGGTCTTCGCATCCAGAAGCATACTAAAGGCGCGACGCATCGTCGTCTGCGATGGCGCGGAGCGGGCGCGTGGGTGCCCGGCTGCCTGGCTGATACACGTGCGGGCCTGGCTGATACCCGTGCGGTCCCAGATGCCCAATGAGATTGCCGATACGCCTGCTGGCGGGAAGGCCGGTGCTTGCATACGGCAGTGCTACCGCGAGCACGTTGTGGACCTGCGGTGGCAAGACCTCATTTTTTGCAAGGGATGGTGGCCCTCGCAGGCGCGCAACCGTTGTTGGAGAAGTTCAAAGCACCTGAAGAAGTAGCACGCAAAGACCCTTTTGACAGAAATGTTTAAAAAGTGGTGTGTTTCCTATGAATCCGCAAGAGCGCGCGGAAGGACATTTTGACAATTTTTTCTTAAAAAACCATTGGGTTTTTGATGTTTTTATGTTAAAATCGTTACGAAACCTAAGGTTTTGGAAGGATTTCGTCTTGCGAGCGCGAATGTCCACTTTACCTTATTTTTTGCAAGGGATTCTTGAAATTTGATCAACTAAGAACAAGAATTTTCATTTTCTATTGTTTTTTGCAAGGGAAAACGAGCGTCAACAAAAAACCGGATCCGGGGGTAATCCACTTTTCTGAAGCTTTCGCAGAAAAATGATGAAAATGTAGCTGCGGCCTAGGTTTTGGGCGGGGGGCGTGCACCAGGGGGTCCAACAATAATAATTCTTTAGAAGTAATAGTGTTCAACAACAACAACAACAGTGGAGGACACGTACAGAAAAGGGAACGGATCAAACAAAAGCCATGCCGAATTGCAACTTGCTGGCTTGATTTCGTTGTATCTGGCGGCTGCGCCAAGACGCCCCCAAGAGGCCCCAGGAAGCCATAAAGAGGCCCCCGAGAAGACCCCAGTGGCACCCAAGAGGCCTCCGAGACGCTCCGAAGAGGTCCCCAGGATGCCCCAACAAGGAGCGGTCTTCACGTGCTCCGGACGTGCACCGCCCTCGAAAAGCGAGAGGAATCCACGTCCGGGGGTGACGTGCTGAGCAGCGTTCTCGGGCGACCGCCTTAGTGCAACGTGCCCAAGGTGTCCAACGTACGTCAAATTACTGACTGCATCACACCCTTTTGAGCTATGCCGTCTGCCCCCTCTTCCCCCCTGGGAGTCGCGCCACATCCGCCGACCAAACGTGGTGAGCCCCTCTCTGGGGCTCAAAAAACAACCAAAACTTATGGAACACACGCACACACATACACACATCTATATATATATATATATATATATATATATGATTTAAGCCTTTGGGCTCTCATCTGATTTAGGCCTTTTGGCCCTCTTGGGTGTCCGAGAACGCCTCGATACGGCTCAAGATGGGGTCAAGACGGGCCAATGCGTCCCCGGGACGGCCCAAGATGGCCCCGAGGGGGGCCCGGAGGCCCCCTAAGGCGGCCCAAGAGAAGACCCCCAAGAGGGCCAGCAGAGGCCCAAAGCACTCGTGCTCTCCTGCGTTCGACGGGCGCCGGCGTCCTCGCCCCTCTCGACCCTCGGGGGCCCCTGACGGCCCAAGCAGCCTCCGAGGTGCCCCCCCCCCTCGCCTTCCCCTTGCCGCTCGCCCGCGCCCCCCGAGCCTGGGCGGCTGGGGCCTCTGCCGCCGCCGCGGGCACCGCGGAGGGCTCCGAGGAGGTGGCGCCGGCGGCCACGGGCGCTGGGGCACGCCAGGGGGCGGGCGCGCGCAGCGCGTGCAGCGAAGGAAGCAGAGCTGCGTGCGCGCTCCGGAGGAGCGTGCTGGGCAGCAGGCGGAAGAACCGCTCTCGTGACAAGCGCCCCTGCGATCGGCGCGTGCTCGCAGAGGTGTCGGCCCGGGAGAGGCGCCCAGGGAGGGGGTCGAGCAGGGCCACATTCTTCAGCGAGCGCCCCGGACTGTGGAGCGAACGCCGGCTGTGTGTGTGTGTGTGTTTTCCCTCCCTTGGCTAAAGCAAGGGCCCCACCAGCAGCTGGTGGGGGCCTCGGCGCGGCGGGAGTGGACTGGCCGTGGGAGGGGGAACGACAAGGGGAGATCAGTGGGGGCAAACATCGAGCTGGAATCGGTGATACATCGCCGATAGATCGGCGATAGGCGCCCGATTGCAAATCCGCACTCTCCTGGGCTGGGTGGGGCTATCAGGTTCGTATCGGCGATCAATGGGCGATTGTGAATCGATGCATCCCCCCCGCCGAGTATGTCCCCCCTAACATTACCCTGAAGTACAGTACCAACTCCAGAGGCTTCGCCAAACCGACCACTCCACAGAGCCTCCTGACCGCTTTTGCGAGTTGGGGCGCCGTGGACTTCCAGGAACCTCGAAAACTTTGAACTTTGAATCGTCGTCGCCGCCGCCGCCATCGTCTTGTCAGCGTCGTCGGCCTCCCTCCGGGCGGACTGGCGTCAATGGCAATTGGGGGAACTCGTTCCGTACAGCGATTTGCTGTGCCGTGTATCCGGCCTGCTCTTCCCTTTGCCCTCGCGATCTGGAGCAGCTCTGTAGAGCTCTCGCTTCTCGCCGCGGCTCTCGACTCGCAGTGCTTACAAGAGAAGCTTGGGCTTGAAGCCACGAGGGCGCCGAGGAGGAGGAGGAGGAGGAGGAGGAGGAGGCCTGGCTGTGAGGCGGGGGGCGTCTTCGTCGCCGACGCGGGGGCGTTCTTGGCCGACGCGTTCTTCGCCGGCGCGGGCGCCGCCGCGGGCGCGGGCGCCGCCGCGGGCGCGGGCGCCGCCGTGGGAGCGGCCGCCGCCACCAGGGGCCTCGGGCGGACGCTCAGCTCTCGCGGGCGCTCAGCTCTCGCGCGCTCATCGGGGCGCTGCTGCCGCTGCTCATCGTCCGTCGTCCTCGTCCCTCCCGCCCTCGCTGCCCCTCGGCCTCGCCCTCGTCGGTCACCCACCTCCTCATCCCCCCCTTGGCTTCGCAGCGAAGGCTCGGGAAGCTTCTCTGAGAACGCTGGAGGCCCTCTGAGCCTTCCGAGAGGGCCCGTCCCCTCTCGCTCCCCCCCCCCCCTTGGCGCGCCGCCGAGTTTGTGCTGCAGCATCGTCGATGCTTCCTGGGTCTACTCTGGTCCTCCCCATCCTTTTCCTCCTCCTCCTCCCCGCTGGCGCGGGGGATCAGTGAGGATCGAATCGGTCAGGGGAAGACTGTGCCCGGAGAGGGGCAGCTAGGAGGAGGAGGAGGAGGAGGAGGAGGAGGAGGAGGAGGAGGAGGAGGAGGAGGACGAGGATTAGGAGGAGCAAGAGGAGGACGACAACGGCGAAACCGTCAACAGCTAGCCCACGCACGAATCCGGACCCCAGAAGTGTGGTCCGCGACGTTATGTGATATCAACTGAGTCGCAACACGCTACTTGTAGAAGTCTAACGCAGCATGAGATGGATAAGGAGGGGGAGGATACGAGAAGGGAACCTGGAGCAACGCCAATCGCATTGAAACCAGTACAGCAATGTTGGCGAAAAGGACCAAACACAATCCAAATGCACAAGAGGCGGGGGAGGCGAGGCAGAGAAAGAGAGGACAAGGCTGCAAAATAATATAATATCCTAGAGCATTGGTTCCGCTGCGAATGAAGACGGCCCTGCTCGGTAAAACACGGTGACGGCAACTCAAGGGAGAGCCAGCGTCCTCGTGCCCGCCATAGCCAGGCAAGCATGCAAGCCCGACCAGCGGATCAGCATCGCGCCCCCACAAAACAGACATGCACCAGAGGAGGGAGTAAGACAAGTAGCCCAAGACACCGTAGTGCATCAGAGCTGCAAGCGGAACGATGCACCGTGTTCCCCCCCAGACTCGGCGATGCATCGCCGACAAATCGGCGACCTGCCCCCCCATCGCTGGGCGGGGTGGGCTATCAGGCCCGCATTGTGGCCATCGATGGGCGATCGCGGGCCGATGCGCGCCCCCCCCCCGACCTCCTCACCCCCAACGTCTCCCCCTCCAAAGAGACTGATGCACATCAAGGGGCCCCAGGACACACAAATAAATACACACAAATAAAATAATTCCCCATATTTGCCCATATTTCTTGGGTTTTTGTCTTCCCGCCCAATTCCCATATTTTCCCATATTTTCTGGGGGGTCGACGATTCATTGTGTCTGTGTGTTTCTTCCCCTCCTGAGCACAGCATGGGGCCCGACCGCCGGGAACCCTCCACGGGAAGCCCAACCCCGAGACCCCGGGACGTCCACGGATTTTCGGCGTGGGAGCGCCGCGCGCTCCACAGCAGGACCACCGGAACCCAGGAGATCCAGGTAGAGGCCTGCCAGATGGGGTCCGAGCAGATGGGGTCGGAGGATCGCACCGCATCGCCAATGCATCGCCAATGCATCGCCGATGCATCGGCGATGCATCGCCGACATCGGCGACGCATCGGCGACGTCGGCGTGGAGAAAATCGGACTCCGCATCGATCCGCATCGTCGATGCATCGGCGATGCGGCGCGATCCTCCGACCCCATCTACTCCGACCCCACCTAGGAGCCCTAGATCCAGGGGGACCCTGGAGGCACGCAGGTGTTCCTTGGCAGGGGTCTCCTCTGTGCGGTGCCCTGGCCCGTCCCCTGCGCAGGGGCTGCGCCGCGCAAGCGCGGGCCCCTACCCCAGACCCCCGACGTCGGGACTTCTTCGCAACGCCGACCCCCACCGGGACCGGATCTTCATCCACGAGTCGTTATTCGATGGGACGCACATGGACATACTAGTACTATATGTCCTCCTTGGGGGCGCGCGTCCGACCCGAACATGTAGTATACCCATCTTGTAGTATATCGTTTCCCGAGCGGTGTGGCCAGGAAGCGCACGCCGCGACGCATATACTATAAGATTGCTCGGTGCGCGCGTCGCCCCTGGGGGGGCGACGCACATGTAGTATAAGTATGTTTGGGTGTTGCCGATTCGATGGTCCCGAGGCCCGGCGAGGGCCCCCAGAGGCCGAACCTTGCGCAAAATCTCCCGTCGCGACTCTGTCGCAGCGCGCGGGGGCGGTCTGGGACAGGCGTGCCCGGGGTCGGAGCGCGAGCCCGCCGTGCGCCTCTCCGCCGCTCTCCCGGCGGGGCCCGCGCCCCGAGGCCCCGGGGGCCCCGGTGCACTGCGCCCTCCCAGCTCGGCGGGGGAGGGCGTTCACAGCGAGCCTGGGCCTGGGTCGGGCAGGTCCCCCTCCTCCTCCTCCTCCTCCTCCTCCTCCTCCTCCTCCTCCTCCCCCGAGGGAAGATTACAACCCCGTTGATGCGTCTTGGGGCTGCCCTGGCCTCTTATGCCTCCTCCTCCTCCTCCGACTTTCCCCCCTTTTCCAGCTTCCTCCCGATGTGCAGGCGGGTTTTTTGGGAAAACCGAAGAAGGGCCAACACAAGATATTCGAGCGTGTTCCAAACGGATCAGACAGCATCGTCCCCAGACTATCTTTTTGACTATCTGTTTGAATCTTCCTCCTCTAGAGGGACAGGCCCGACTCAACCCCAGGACCCGTGCACGCGCCCTCCTGGCTTGGCGAGGAAGGCGTGCACACCGATCCCGGGCCCAGGGTGGGCGTGGCCGGGAGCGGCGGGGGGTGCATGCAGCCAACCCACACAGTAAGGACGAGCGACTTTCCAAAAGGTCATCCTTGCATCCTTCCCACTCGGCTGATGATGTTCGAGCCTATTTTAGCCTTGATCACCAGGAGGAATTTCGAGCACCTAGAAGGTACCGAAGCTGGAGGGCTTTCGCGTGTCGGGCCCTGGGAGGCGATACTCGTTCGACACTGTTTCGATACTTTTCTGGGTGCTCGAAAGTATTCCTGGGATGTGGTCCGTACGATGGGAGCAACATAATCTTCGGCCCATCCTTGGCCCCCCCTCGCTGGCCGCGCCCCGCTCGCAACATGTCGACATCTTCCGGGGCCCCTGCCTCCTCATCGTGCGTTCTTATGATCGGGCGACCCGCCCGTACTTGGCCGCGACGCCGTTCCGACGCCCCCGACGCGGCGCGAGGCGGCGCCGCGCTTGCCCTGGCCCGCTCCCGCGTCCGCCGCGATCCCAGCGCGAATCTTTCAACGCTGCTCCGGCCTGGACTCTGAAACTCGCTGCTTGCGCGAAGCCCGAGCACCCCAGCCCCCGCATCGGCGGGCGGATGATGTCTTCACGACGTCAGCCCCCGGAGGTCTCGACCGATTCCCCATGACCGGCCTTTCCTCCCGAATCGTCCTTGGACGGTCCCGAGGCCTGGTGGGGGCCCCCAGGAGTCGAGGATGGCGAAAAAGCTGCCGTCAGCGGGCGGCCCGCGACAACCCGACAGCGGGCGACGTCGGCGTTGCTTCGGCGACACCAGCGCGGAGAAAATCGGGCTCTACATCGAGAGGCATCGGCGATGCATCGGCCATGCGGCGCGATCCTCCGACCCCATCTACTCGGACCCCATCCGGGAGGCCTACGTCGTTCAATTCAAATCGTGCTCATTTCAAATTCTGCGCGTTTTTAATTGTTCCTGGCCCCCTAGTGGCCAGGAAGAGGCCCAGGATAGAACAATTCGAAATGAAAGGATCTTGGCCCCCCCAAAATGAAAGACCTTTCGAATACTTTGAAATGAACAATGTGTAGATCCTTGTCGTGCGTTCTGATTATTCGGGCAGACCGTGGGTGACCCCCCAGAGATCCGATGTCGAGATTTTTTCAATGCGAGGTCCCCGGAAGTCTCGACCCATTCCCCAGGACCGGTTTTTCATCCCGAGTCTAAAGGGGCCCTGGGACACACAAATAAATACACACAAATAGAAGGATTACCCATATTTACCATATTTTTTATGATTTTCGTCTCCCCCCCACTTCCCATATTTTCCCACATTCTCCTGGGGATCGACGATTCATTGTGTCTGCGTGTTTTTGTTCCCTCCCGAGAGGTCGTTCTTTCACGGTCCCGGGGCCGGGCGAGGGCCGCTATAGATGCCGAACGTTTAGAATCGGGGATGGACAGACCCCCCTTTAGTAAAACGTGGTTTAGTGAAAACGACCTGAGGCCCAAACCTGGCGGGCGCAAGCCTGTAAAACAACGGCCACGGCGCCTTCTCGAGAACCGAAAACGGACAATTCACTAATCGACGTGTCACTGTTGGGGGTTCTGTCCAACCCCGATAGAAAGAACCTCCGTCTCGATCTTCCAATGCGTTGGATCTCGTCGGCCCCCGCCAGCGGGCGGCCCGCGACGCCCCTCGGCCGCCGCGCCAGCGCAGGTGGGCCGCCGTGCCGCCAGCTCGCGGCGCGCCGCCGGACGAGGCTGGCGATGATCGGCGGCGCGCCGAGGGGTGAAGCCTCCTCCTGCTCCTCCTGCTCCTCCTCCTCCTCCTGCTCCTCCTGCTCCTCCTCCTCCTCGTCGTCCTCCTCCTCCTCGATCTCCTGCTGCTCCTCCTCCTCCTCCTCCTCGTCCTCCTCCTCCTGCTCCTCCTGCCCCTCCTCCTCCTCCTCCTCCTGCTCCTCCTGCCCCTCCTCCTCCTCCTCCTCCTCCTCCTCCTCCTCCTGCTCCTCCTCCTGCTCCTCCTCCTCCTCCTGAGGTGGGCTGACGATGATCGGCGGCGCGCCGAGGGGTGAAGCCCGACCCCCTCGCGTTGAGAGAAATCACGACGGGAGGTTTTTCGCTATTCTCTGCCTCCGAGGGGCCCTTTATACCAGGCCCCAGGACCGTCAAAAAAGCGACTCCAGATGAAACATCGGCCCCGGGGAATGGGTCCAAACCTCTAGGGTTCGACGTTGTGAAAAAAACACGGCGTCAAGGGTCTGGGTTCGGAGAAGCC